CCTTCCCCTCTTATTTGAAAATGCAAAAATCTATTTAAGGAAAAAACATACTTGTTTACTATTCCACTACCCAAACTATTTTTCTCCCTATCATTTATTTTATTTTTTTTTTTGTATTACCTATTTTCTTTAATAATTTTTTTTTGGTTTGCTAGTATTTTGTTTTTGTTTTTTTTATTATTATATATTTTATTTTTATATTCCCCATACAATTGCAACCCCCTTATTTTGACCCCAATCCCTCCCCTCCCCGCCCCTCACCCCCCATAAAGTGTCTCTGGTTCATAGTTGTTTGTTGATTTTGATTTTTACTTTCTTGTAGTTATTCATTTTCCTGGTCCCTTATTTAAGTTTTCTGGATTCCTGCTATGAGTGAGACCATCCGGTATTTTTCTTTTTCTTTCTGGCTTATTTCGCTGAGCATGATCCCTTCCAGCGCCATCCATGTTGCTGCAAATTGCATGTGTTTATCTTTTTTGAATGCTGAGTAATATTCCATGGTGTATATGTACCACATCTTCTTGATCCAGTCATCTATTTTTGGGCATTTGGGTTGTTTCCAAAGCTTAGCTATTGTAAACAGTGCTGCTATAAACATAGGGGTGCAGGTGCTCTTTGGAATTGATGTTTCTGTGTCCTTTGGGCAAATACCTAGGAGTGGAATTGCTGGATCATATGGAAGCTCTATGTTTAGTAGGTCAAGAAATCTCCACACAGCTCTCCATAGTGGTTGGACCAGTTTGCACTCTCACCTTTGGTTTTCAATACTCAAAAAGAAGGACACCAAAATGGTATTTTGCTGAACTTTAAAATCCCTGACTTTTCAATATAAGATTTTAAATGGAAACACTAAGTCAGGGGTAACTAAACCGAAAGCCTGAGAGGGCCAACAGGTAACAAATGGAGACTTAAGCCAACTAGAATTCACACATCCTCACATGAGAACAACTGCTGTTCCACTCCCGCCCTTGCTGTTCCATGCAGGGATAGGGCCCAATAATGCTAGATAGTTGACCTTGATCAAAATACACACTGAGTAAGAGAATTTATAAAAACAAGTAATGAAAGAAAATGAAAATTTTCTACATCAGTTCTTAAGACTAAAAGGGATACTCTTATTCTTTTGAAAGATAATATATTAACATGAGAAATCTGTAAGTACAAAAGAGTATATAGTTAGTTAAAAGAAACTCTCCTTCCTACACCACTGCCCATGTCACAAGCCTTCTCATCTCTTCCATCTCCTCTAGAAATAGTTTTTACACATACAAATACTGCTCTGCACCCCACCTTTTTGATTTTAAGCTTCTGGCTGATACCACCATTTTTCAAATTCCCCACTGTTCTACGTGTTCAGGGGCACAGGAAGCTGCCATCTTCTTTTTTTTCATTCCTGAATCACTTACTGAAGAAGGGAGCAGCGAGAAGAAATCCTACCTCCTATAATTCATTGCTAGTAAGTTTCATTCTTTTTAATCTTTTAAAAGTTCCACTCTGTGAGAGACAATAACTAAGAAAAACAAGGGTTGATGTCAATTGCCATGAACACCATTCCACTGAAACCTTCATTTTGCCATGAACCATTGGTTATAGACACAGAATGCTCATCAGAGCTCATTTTCCAGAGGTCAGAATTCCAAGAAGATTATTATCCCTGGAATAGGAATGTCTTGAACTATTATTGTAATATGAAGTAAGGATTGCCCACTGCCCAAAAGATTGGAAACAGCAGCTGCTGGAATGCCGCCTACCACACTGGCCTCAAGAGCCACACTATTTTCCCTTTCTTTTGTCATTTCCACAAAATATCTTAAAAGACCAAGCAGCAGGAAAAATACAAATGTTTTTCAAAGAACAAAATCGCTAGGATATTCCAAAGACTCTGGGGAGGGTTAAACTGAGAATCCCCAAGGCAGACAGAGAGATGGGTAGGGCAGGAAGTCCTGGTGGGGAGGCAGGCAAGCTTGGAGCTGGTGGCTATAGAAAGGGGGGAAATGTCTATGAGGGCTACAGATTATCAAAGCCAAACAAACTCCCCAGGAAGCCCGAAAGTAGAAAAACTAAGAAGCCCACTGAGGAGATGCTGGAAGCTCAGTAGGGTAATCTTTCTGAGAAATGGATAAAGGCAACACAGACAGGCTACATTTTATACCAGAAGACCACAAATAGTTGAAAATCTGTATGATTCAGAACTGACTTTCTCTTATCAGTCAATGGTAGTAGAGGGGCATTGCATCAGTGCCTCAGTCACAATATATCCTTGCTGCTTTTTCTCTTGTAGCATTTATTCTTAATATTTTAAAGATACCCTAAATATTTCCTAAATTGAGGTTCTATAAATCACAGTGCTATATGAACTCACTCATAGAATTTCATCACAGCTTTCATTGCAAAATTACATGATTTTCACTCAATGAATCTTCATTTAATGAACTTTTGGATGGTATGATGTAAATTAAAAAACCCTTAATTATATTAATAGTGAGTTCAACTTTATAGTCATCAAAAGGGCTTGTAGATGTTCCAGTGCATAAGAACAGTGCGGGTTACAGGCTATTGGCAAAGTATGCTGGATCTTTCTGCTTGCCAGCCAAAGGCACAGCCAAGTGCCAATTGTATAAATGTAGTTTATAATGCATTCGGCTGATCAGATTTAAAAATATATAAGTCTAAAACTAATTTTCTTAACTCGGGGGAGTATTTCAAAACTTTTATATAAAGTAATCTTTAGTACTGCTTTTATATCACATTATCTCATTTGGTAATTTGTATCACATGGAGTCACCCCACCTTCATTAGCTGTATCTTCATTTACTTCTTAGTGGGAATTTTATATAGAAAGATATACACTTTGCATTTCCTCTACTCTATCCACATCCTGCTTCTAACCCTCTCTTCTTTCCCTCAGTGATCTCTTCCCCTTTCAAAGCTTTATTACCTTCTATAGGCTGAAGACTATAGAATTTTCCAGCCCCAATCACTCTGCATCTTAAAAAATGATCAAACGGGCATCTCAAATTTAATGTCCTGAAAAGAACTCCCAGGGTCTCCTCCAAATCCTCCATCTTTATTCCCCATCTCAGTAAAGAGCAATGATATCCACCCAGTCAAAACACACTGGACTCATCCTGGACTCTTCTTTTTGCTCAGAGCCAATCCATCAGGTTCTACATTCAAAATATATCTTGAGCTTGGCCACTTCACATCACTCCATAATCACCACCCTAAGCCTTATGTCTTGCCTGAACCACCAGAATGACCAGGTGACACTGATTCTACTCTTGCCCCAAAGTTGATTCTCTATTCAGTATCCAGAGCAATCATTTTAATGCACAAAGAAGATCACATCACGATTCTACTTAAACTTCTCCAACAGTAACCAATCACACTCAGAAAAATCGAAACTCCTTTTAATAAGAACTGGCTCCTACAGACTATTGACCTTACTCCATATCCCTCTTTCTCCCCAGTTCAAGAACTGGTTGCACTCCTGTCCCTCTGTCACACGAGGCACAGCCTACATCAAAGGCCTTTCCTTATGCTTGCTGTCCCTCTGCCTGACACTCCTCCTAGATTCTTTCACTCCGTTTGCAACTCTGCACAAAATCTCCCCTCTCTCACAAACACACATGCACACTCACACACACTTTCAAAAGAACCCCTCACTTTGTTTCCTTTTCTTGTGGCACTTATTACTACCTGACACTGTATCACCTACTGAAGTGTTTACTTCATAAGACACACACCATGTGTCTGCACAGGCCTAGTCTGAGAGCTGGAGATGCAGCAGTGAAGAAGCAAAGATTCCTGCCCTTGCGGAGCTCTCATTTTTTGTTAGTGAATCTAACTAGTCAATCTCATGACTCTAAGCCCCAGGACAACTCAGTCTGGCGATCACCAGCTTTCCAGTGCTGGAGCAGAGCTTTGGGACAAGATAGGAGGGAACACACTTTACCTGAAAGGGTCAAGTGTCCCACCCACTTTTGAAGCCATCTCCTTCTCTGAATGCTCCCACCACAGAGCTCTGCCTGCCATGTGGAACTCTGATGGTGGGAGTCAGCACTGCCACTGCAACCCTTTGGACATGGCTATCTAGACAGGCAGCCCTTCATGCCTGAGTTGGGTCCCTAACTCTGGCCCTGTCCTGTCCTGACTGTTCTTCCTGCTCCAACCTCCAGCAACCTGCAGGCTCCCAGGGGGCCATGCCACCAGAACTGATCTCACTCGACCAAGCCAGGAAGTCCACAAACAAGCCAGCTCTTCTCAACAAGGTAGCTGGAATCAAGATGCACAGTCACGTGCCTCTGTGGCTTACGATGGTCCTGCCCCTCGGCGGTGCACATAAAACCAACATCAACTAGCTTTATTCCTGGAGCAGTCTCATCTCAGCCCTGAGCATACTGGTGTTCAAGGATGTATTTGTACCTCTTTCAACTGACATTTCCCTGCTATGATGAGTAATTTAAATTTCTTTCAAAAAAGGAAGAACATTTGTTAACTGAAATTATCTAATTTTAAATAAAAATGGAGGTGATTGTGAAATGAAGTTAATTCATCTTTCAGGAAAATAGCAGCGGTAATGGAAGGGGAAAATAGAACACAAGTCTCTCAAAGACCCACTCGGGGTCGGGGGTGGTGTCTCAGAAAATAGGAATTTAAAAACATGTTTCCAACATTTTGTTCAGAATGCCCTGCCCTACATCTCAGGCCCTAATAGAATTACCTTATACTTGCCCAGTACTTCTCTTTCAACCATTCTCATATACACAATCTCTTTCAGCAGGGAAGATTCCTTTCTCTCTCCGGGGACAAACAATTCACCTAACATCCCACAGCAAAGGTGGCAGAACCAAGCAGGTACCAGAACCCAGATATGCATGGGCTCAATCCAGTGACCTTCTATAACTGAAAGGACAGTGTGATTCTCTGCAAATTGTATTCTATAGTCCATTGAAAATATTTCCCTTCACTACTGCACAAGGAAAAAAACACATATTCACCACTGGTTTAAGATGGAGGAAAGATGCATTGGTCCTGGAGCTCTGGGCAGAGAGACAGCTTCACAAACACTTCCAACAAATGCCAACACCTGTAACAGAAAAACATAAAACATTAGGGGTGAATTAGGCACCTATGGCTTCTCCCCAAAGGAGTTAACCAAACATCAATTGCCAGGCACACTGTTTAGGCTCAAAGCACCAATGTCCTCCTCTTCTGGGCCTACTATGTTCCTGCATTTACTTCCCTAAATAGAAGAAACTTCAATTCACCAGTTGAACTGGTCTCCCCCACTAGACTTATGAATTGTGAAAGAAGCTTTAGAGATCATCTATAACAGGGATCACAAGATTGAAAGTCCAACAGGTCAACCTAGCCTATAGAAGTATTACATTTATGTGTAGGGCATATTCAGAAAATTTAAATCAAAACCTAAAATCAAAGACATGAAAAGCCCAGACTTCTGACTCTTAAAAAAATATCAGACCTGTCAACATGTACCAACAATTTCATGTCTGCAGAACCCAAGAAACGTGGTGCAAGAAAATACTGTTTTCCAGAATGTTTCTGAGAAGATGGTAAAGAGATTTTCCCCTGTGCAAGACAAAAGAAGGTTCTGGCTCCACCTCGGGGCCTGGATGCCCACAACTGGACAAGCAGGAAATTCTGTGATAAAATGTTCCAGGATATCAGATATCTTCCCATCAAAATCACCAGGTGGAGTTCTTTTCTTCATGGGTAAGAAAGGAAAGAACCACCAGCTATGATTTAGGCTAAGGCAAAGTCCGGGGTGGGGGACAGAGGGGAGGAACATTCCCAAAAGATAGTCTTTTGGAAAGGAGGCATAATAAAGAAGAGAAGACCAGATATCTGATCATGGTTAGGGTTCAAGGTTCAAAGTCAGTATGAGGAAACACGGAGGCTGAAGTCACCTGAAGAGTGGGAAGAGCTTCCTTGGAGCTATAACCATTGGGCTGGTCCCCAAGTCTGGATGAAAATTAGAATCACCTGGAAAACTTAAAAAAAAAAAAAAGTTCCTGCGCTCCAGACCCATTAATTCAAAATCTCTGATTTGGAGACCCAGGAATTGTTCAAATGATTCCGACAGCCAGATGTCAACAGCCTTTTGCAAAAGCGTACCTTTCTCCCTGAGGCTTCACTAGCTCCAGAACAAATCTCCTTAAGGTCTTAACATCCTGCAGCAGGCAGTGTGCCAGGATCCAAGATATGGAGAGTTGCACATTCTTAGTATGTTTACCCCTCCCTACATCGCATTATGACAAACATCACTTAACTCCTTTTAAATAAATAAAAAAACATAAAACGCCAGCAGCCAGGCCACTGAGTAAGTAAAGGGGGCCTCCCTCTGCGCTCCAGTCCACTCCAGACTACGACATGACACCAGTGCCTCCAGATAAGCTACTGGAGCTGGACGGCCCCAGCAGCAGTCGGATCCCTTGCAAGCCTGCAGATTCACCCTGGCAGAACACAGGGCTCAGGAGCACCCAGTGGTGGCCTTCGAGGAATGGCTCCAGAGCAGACGGCACTTTGCTCAGGTCCTTACTGCCCACCAAAGAGCAGGGCACGGCAGATCAATGCAATGCCTAGAAACCTGTCAAGCCAGCTGAGCACTTCTCTTCCCAGATTTCCACTTTGTGGTCAAGTAATAGCCTGAGCAATCACCAGCCAAGAATGGCAAAGTAAATGCTGTGCACCACAAAGATGACAGATCTGATTAAGCTGGTTCCCTGAATGGACCAACCTAAAGAAATCTCCTCCCCAACGTCATCAGGTGACTTTCACATGGTCCAGCAACAGAGTAACCCACAGTAACTGAGGTCAGCCATCCTGACTGCAAGGCCTGGCATCAGTGCATAAGTATCCTCCACGTGAGCCAAACGCAAATTTGGGGGTCTCCCTGGTGGCGCAAGGGATTAAGACGCAACCTGTGAAGCTATCTGCAGCCACTGTAGCAAGAGTTCGCAGCAGACCTCTTCTGTCTCGCCCGCTGCTCCCCTCAGCAGTGTATTTCAGTCTGCTCTTCTGCTCTCCACTCTGTCTCTGGTGAATCCTCTCATTGCCCCCATCCCCCACACCTTTGGCCTGTACCCCAGTTCTTGTATGCATAAATAAATAAATCTTTAAAAAGAAACAAATGCAAATTTGGAAGAACCTGGGAAGGGCAGGAAGTCTATGAAAAGTTCAAGATACTAATGTGTCCCTTTTGGTGGCTCTTAACTTTTAGGAAATCCATTATTTCCAAGGACCATTATATCCTTACCTAAAACAAGACCTTTCTGTTACCCAATACCCCAAAAGAAAGTACAGATTTGTCCCAGGTCCTAGCACCTTTTCATTATTGCCTCTTCCATTTATATCCTCCTCTCTAGCCAATCCAAAGACTATCGAGTCCTGGATGCTGTGAATATTACCTCCCTTCCTGCCAAACATCAATCGAAGCAACTGAACAAATGAGTGCTTCTCATGTTACGTGTTCTCAGAGTGCAGTGCGTCTCTCCTTCACGGCATGAATCACTGACAGTTTGACATCAGTTTCCCACTCACTGATATGTGGGCAAGCACCCATGTCATCATTTTTGTTTTGCCTTTTACCTATTTTTCAAGTTTTGAGGAATCTTTTGTTTAGCTGACTACTGTATCCTAATACAGTGCTTTCAAATCCTCTAGGCTCCCTCAAAATATACTTTAAATTTGAGTTAAAAGAGGATCAATCATTCACCAACTACTCACTCTTGCTAGTAGGCTCTGAAATTTAGGGTGCCACTAATTAGTCCACTAATCTAGAGGACTATGAAAGAGCCTGTTCAGAAGGTTAGTACTGGCGACACACTTATCCAAATGGAATCCCCAAGGCCAAGATCACCTGCCTAGGCCAGAGCCAGCAGTTTACTAGGTGATAAGGGACGAAGAGGAGACCAGATGTACAATCCGAGGCTCCTAGTGGAATCTAACTAGGAACAGGCCCTCAGCTGATGCTCCAGTCTGCTGCTTTCTGCCTTAGAGCGCCAGTGACAGTGGGGCTTGGCTTCTGTCTCACAAGAATCTGATCATAACTCTAGCTATGAGTCATGGCATGGCACTGCTTCAAATTTCTGGGTCTGATCAGAACCCTTGGGTTCCTATAAACTTCTGGGTCCCTGGCTAAGCCCTGTTATTCTGGGTTCCCTCCTGCCCTGAGCTCTGCACTTTGTGTGCACCCTCACTCCACCTTATATTATAACCTTGATGCATCCCACCCATGCTACTCACCTAGCTCATGGCTGTCCCAACCACAGGCCTCCTTCCAGAGCCTGGCACACAGAGCCCGGCACACAGGAATGTCCACTGCAGGTAACTTGACCTTACCTATCTTCTCTCTGCTTCTCAGACTTAGCCCTCCTTGCTCTAAGTCCAAGACCCAACTTGTTTCCTGGGTTGATGGAAGAATGCCCTCCCCCACCCCCCCAAATTCCAACTTCTCCATTAACAAATCCAGACAGTCCAGGGTAGAAAATCCCTAGCTGGCCTTCTGGCTGGTCAACTAAAGCAGAAAACAAATCAGAACATTTATCTTTCTATTTCCTTTTTGTGCAGTGATTTTTAAAAATTCCACACTGCATTTATTTTATTTAAGATGACTTTCTAATATGCGCAAAATGAATTCCTTTTTTTGACATTGAAAATAATTTCCCTACTTCTCAGAACAAACCCCACTGCAGTCAGGCCCAGGGCCACATCCTGAGGACATGAATGCCACTGAAGCGTCCTTGAAGCTCAGTGCAGAGGTGGCACCTCTGGTCCCATTGCGAGTTGTCCCTCCACACCACTTGCAGAGGAAGGTGAATCTCTGAGCACTTTTAAAGCTCTCCTACCATCTCTGCAGATTCAGTGGGAGGGCGAATGAGTGTTTCCAAGTTCTCTGAATGACACAAAGCTTATAAAGCAGAATAAAATTAGTTGAAAAACAGCAAAATAATTTTTAGCTCCCCTTTAAAAAAACAGTGCACCTACTTTAAATGATTCACAGTGACATCATAGTTCTTCTTCCACTGGGTAAACATTTCTCCCTCCCAATGCTGGTGATTCCCTCTCTCCCACTCTGCTTCTAAGACAAGATACATCCACAAGACATTTCTGGTCCCCACCCCCAACCTAAGAAAATACTGACAAAACTTAGAGTCCCCCCCACCCAACATCCAGCCAGAGGCTGCTCTTCTCTGGAAGCTTTGCATTCACTATTCTCTCTGCCTGCAAAGCTCTCGCCCTGTCTCTTGCACTGGCTGGGGCCTTCTTACTACTGAGAGCTCAGGTCAACTGTCACCTCTTGACCAAAGCCAGCTCTGACTACCCAGTGTAACTCCCACCAGTGCAATCCACTTTCTTGGTAAAGCATTTTGCAATCTGTAATTATCTCATTTCACTGTGCTCCAGGGGACAGGAATCTTGTCTGATTGGTGCCTTGCTGAAACCCAGCACAATAGCTCCTTGCACAAAGCAAGTGCTCAGTAAATTGCTGTTGAGTGTCTGAAGGAAGACAGGAGGCAGGTCGGTGCGAATCAGGCTAAGAGTCCTTCAAAGATGCCCCATGGGCCTCCCCTGGTGGCGCAGCGGTTGAGTGCTGGGTTGCGAGGCTGCCCGCAGCCTCTGTAGCCACCGGCGAGGGCCCCACAAAAAAACAAACAAACAAACAAACAAAAAAAGATGCCCCATGACTTCCTCAGGCATGGCATCTGGAATGGTCTCTTGGTTTCCCTTGAATTGACAGTCTTAATCTTGTCACTCCTTAGATACTGGTTTTACCACTATATATCCCGTGCCCACTGCACAAATTCTCCTGGAGACCCAAGTGACATGTTTGGCTTCTCCTACCCTGCTCCATTCAGCCAGCCTCAGTTTGAAAAATTCAGATAGCCACAGGGGTATGTGACCTCAAGACCCTTACAGAACTGATCCAAGCCCACTCTCAGTTGTATTTCCAATACTCCAGCGTTCCACTTCACCCCTACAGCACCACAATCAGCTCAGCTGCATGGACCTACCTTCCTGGACTCTAAAACTTTGCTGGGCTCCTCTGCTGCTGTCTCTGTGCCT